AAAAGGGATTCAGTACCTAAACAATTATATATACATAGGTGTATATAGATTCCAGGAGTTATAAAATAACAAGTCCGTATTATAAATGAAGGGTTCGAAAAGCATTACATCAGGGTGGGATCAAAGTGTGGCGGGCGGCAGGCGCGGTCCAGCCGGGCGCCAAGATCGCAACGATATCGTCGCTAGAACAGTAATCGTCAATAAAATCTCAATTTAGATGGCACCGATACCGTGTGAGTTACGGACGGACAGTCAGACCGAACACGAAAACTTACTCGACGATGGAATGCGCCCGTGACAGGACCTGCTAACGAATTACGTACTTACAAGTTTTTTTCTTTGACACGTCTAATTTAATTTATTTTTATCGTATTACATTTAATGAATTCACGAAAATTATCGATTTTGTTCCATGTTTTGGAGAATTTCTGCTCTTTACTAAGTACAGGTTGGTTATTTTGAAAGGTGTCGCCAAAGCCAAGGTCTGGAGATGGTCCATGCAGGTTACGGCAGCAGGTCGCGCGGTCGCGCCTGTGCCTACTCGAATTAATGACGGCTTGACGCCTTGCCGACAGCGGCACGCCTACGCCTATTTATAACAGACCTTTTTGTCTTTTTACCCCCAACCCACTGGCCAGTCACAGATAAGAAGGACGTCAAAGTGGGCATTTAAAAATAAATTTGTCGAAAGTGATAAATGATGGATATAACTTTTATTATTTCAAATTAAATTAACGATCCGAACGGAACGTCTACCTTTTCTCACATTAGAGGGATCTTATCTGGAATGATTGCTTCCATTACCTTAGAGAGCGGACACGTTGTTTTGTAGGTAAGGGAAGATAAAGAGATTAATGCGTAAAGCAATTAATTTTGATTGAGGTGTGTTTTATTAAGTAATTGTTTTTGTTCCCAATGTGGATTTGAAACGCACCATGAAGTTCTGATTTGTTTTTTGTATTGTTCTTTCAGTGATAATATAATTTAACCTATAATGTTTACAAGTAAAATGCCTCCAGCAAAATATGCTTCTTTAAAGTTTTGTCACACATAATAACACAAATAATTTCCTAAGGGGAGAAAAAAGGTTAGAATGTAATGTTATGAGTGTTTTCGAACTATGTTTGCCGTATAGCTCGTTCCCACAGTGAGCTTTAATACATTTTCCATGTTCCAGTTAGCGCCCCATAAATTGATTAAGGGTCAGCGGCGACTCACAAAAGTTTTTTGTGAATCAAGACAGGTAATTCTTAACTGCTGCGATCCTAGGATGAACACACTAAGACGATGGAAATTAAAATATCTCCTGATCGATATCATAAAAAGATCAAGATTTAGGTGAAAATAAAGTTTGTTTTAGCGATTAATCTTTAATACATTTTGGTGTTAAATCAACATAATGGAGTGAACTAATTTCCTGTCAGGAAATTGCTGTAGGGAGGGAATACGATTTCCCTAAAAGCTTCTGTTCCAGTCACCTCGGCCACATCAATCACTCGGGTTAGCCAACGTGAAAACATTTTCATAACAAAAGAGTAACAAGCTTTTAAAACAGTTCCAATCGTTTATAGTGACTCGTTTTTATTCTTATAAATGACCAGGCTAATTTTGTGTTTTCTTCTATTAACCTACTTAGTTAGTTTCTTTTGTAAACTTTCTTGATGATCTAATGCCCGGTTCCTATATTTAACGAATCGTCGTTGTATGACATTACGACCAAATGACATTACGAATAGTTATCTTGACCGTCTACTGACGGTTAAAATATTTATAGGAAAACCACAGGCACCATAGATCTCCATACAATTCGCTTACCGATATCCGTTAGTTGCAAACCGTCAGTAAGTTGCACGACGAGACGTTTATTATAGGAACGGTTTTAGCTTACGAGTCGTATATAAAACTACTATTCGTAATTAAAACGGATCGTTTCTCAATTATAGGAACCGGGCGTTAATCTCCTTCAGATAGGTAAAGTAACGTAACTGTTTAATTTTTCTCCTATACTCAAACTCTATGGCTATATTCAACAAAAGCTTCCTAAGTTAAACAAAGTGCCAACAAATATTTATAAATAAATAAGAGCGATTTCTGTACTGTTGTATCATCTCTAATTAGTCATACTAATTATTGTAACACTAGAACTGTCAATGTCAATGTCATCCTCTACTCTAAATACGGTGGTCGCGAGCTGGTCGCGAGAGTGTCGGCCATTGACTAAATATCTCTGGTGCAGTGAGTTGCCCGGCTGTGTACTGTGATATTAAAGTCAAGTAACTAGGATCCAAGTCTTTTATTCATATTACAAATCCATATGAATAAATAAATATTAGTCACCGAAAAGCCTTTTATGGACTTAAAATTAGCCAAACCTATTCCACTTTTGTGTTATGAATGCAAGTAATTTAGCTCGTCCATCTACATATTCAGTTTTAAATCCGAGAATAGTTTTCTTTCATCTGATAGACATCCGGCCACCAGAGTTGACGACACACTTGAAAACTGGAGAAAAATGGGCTACAGGCCGGAAGGAATAGAATAGACCGTAAAAGATACCTGACATGCATTCTTAGCTGTAAGTTTGAAGGATACTAAAGAACAGACATGTGAAGACGATTTCAAGTATAAAAATAACGTAAAAAGTATTGTCGCATTCTGTGGTAAAATAATACAATTACTATACTCGGACTTTTAATTCCATTCCAGATTTGACAATTTCAGTGTTGCAACGTTATGACACGTAATAAATAGTGACGTTGCGAAATTATTCGATATGGAAATCGAATATTTCTGAATCGATTCCTCTCGTTTATAAATTTACTCTCGTAAACTAAGTTTATCAGGAAATAAAATATTTCTGAACCGATAATTAAGTTTTGACAATTAATTAACGATCTGAGACTTTTCTTTTGTAATTGAGTGTGAAATTAATAAAAAATGTGATCATGAAGGAACGTGACAAATAAAACAGACATTTTATAAATTGTCGCCGTCATCGCTATCGCTATTGCCGTTACTCTATGTAACATTTATTATGAATTGTGTCTTTGATATTTATTGTCAATTAACATATCTAGCTTACTCATTTTTTCCTCTTCTTTGAAAACATGAGATACGCATTTAGACCATTCGGTAGCCGTAATTTTTTGAATGCCTTCCTGAAACTGATTCACTGATTGTTTATCGATTTTTGTGTTCATCACTACACTGTTAAATGTGGTATCATTATTTCACAAAATGACAGTGGTCAATGTCAAATCAGGAATCGAATTAAAAGTCTGACTATAGATCAAATTAAACTTCGGCTTATTTCACACGTAGGTATACAATGTAATACAATAAAATAATAAGGAAAAATGGAATGACTTGATGACAAGCATAATAAGATTACAGAAGATTACATAGACAGTGGCGCGGAAGGTGGCCAAAAACGGCACTACATTTATTTCTTAATTGTGACAAGGGCGATGTTTACATTCATCCAAAACATTGAAATATACTTTTAAATATAGTGAAAAGTAAAAAAAGTTCAAAAATCATTGAATAATATTGTTTTTGTATGATAAACGCATCGCTGGACGCAATATATCACCGCGTAAGATATCTCTGGCCGCAATGAAGTCAGCCAGTAATTTAGGCCGAGACTTTTGGTAGGTTCGAACAAAAAAGCGCGAGGTGACAATATAAATAACAATTTGGCCCACCCCGTTCGAATGTGGTTCGCTCGGATTAGCATAAGAATGCCACATCATGAACGCCCACGACCCTACACTGTCCCTCGTCGTCTGTTTATACGTCGAATTTAATTTTGATTTACGATCCTCCACACAATTGTAAGTAAAACATTTTTCGTTGAAATCAATGTAAAAAGGAGCAGCGCTAATGCAGGCCATGATTCTATCGGACGTTTACACGCTTTACTAGGCAGAATGGAGATATGTTTTACATGATAATAAACATACCTACACAATGACCAAGAATTAATCATATGAATAGTTTGAGTAATTTTTAAATAATTAGCTGAGGTAATCAAATATATAGATACCTACTTACAATGTTATTACTTAAAAGAGAAAAGCTAGTTAAAATAAGTAGATTTAAATTAATTTTAATTTAGGTAATAAGAGTTATATTGCTAACAATAGTCACTTGTTTTTCCAACTTGTATGGAGGTTGACCGTGCTTTGATTTGAAAGACTTTTTTTTATTATAAACGTAAGGATGTGTGATGGACGTTTGTATGTTTGTTTGTTGTAACCTAAGATATGTATCTACCAGATAATTTTGTTCATGAGAATGGGCACCGCCACTAGCAGATGATATTAAAAAACTATTCAATGTAATGATCTAACATAATCAAACTTGCAATCCTATGCCAGGACAGACAATAAACCAGGTAAGCCGTCTATTTCCTTTCCCTGGTTTATAAATAGATATTTCGTTTGAATTGTCTTATCACACGATTAAATAGATGGTTAGTGTCAGAAAGCTATCAGCTATTGCTAGCCACTTAAAATCCTTTAGAACCGTGTATTCTCAATAAAAACCTTAATTCCAAAAACTTTTGATTCGTCTGAATCCCTTTTAAATAACTTAATAAAAGAGGTCTGGGAATATAATTTACGGTCGACATTAGGACGAATTAAAGTGCTTCTTAAGATTCCTTTATGCAAATATTGTTAAAAATATCGCCTACCTCTGGCCAAGAAATTAATTGAGGTAATACTCGCATTTGGCATATTCGAGTATTATATTGATAAATGAGGGTTAATCAGATCAACCACCTAATTATTTTAAACAGCTCATAAACAAAATCGTCGGACGTTCCGTTTAATTAATGCTTATCGTTGCGAATTCATTTGTAAATGGGTTTCGATTAGATTTCGAATACCTACCATAAAACAAAAATATCAACAACTGACCTTATTATATTAAGGCTAGCAAAAAATGAAGGTCCAAGTGGCCATTTACGAATGCAATAAATCTAAATTAGCTTTAAACTAATCTGGTCCACTCTAAAAGATATATAATCTTAAAAACAACCATTTAACTTTTTTAACAAATATTTATTCATCTTCATTCTTCCAAAAGAGCTTAGATCTAATCAAAATAAATAAAATAATAAACGACGGTGCTCAGTGTTAATACGCATTTAAGATAATATATTTAACCATACAAAAATAAATGTCCACCTAATAAATCGTGCCGGACCTTATCGACTTTCGAGACGCGACAGTAAGGACTCGATAAGGATGTGGGTCCATTCGGTTTGAGGGTTCGTATCTCGTAACTTTCAGGTTTACGTTAAGTTCTCTTTCCTCTTTGTATAGTGAAACTTCTTTGGCGTCGAATTTGGTTTTAGTGACTCGCATAGTTTTGGAACGGGCGCGAGCTGAGCGTAATCGGCGTTGCATCTTAATTTAGTTGTCTTGTATTGTGGGAGGCGGCGGCGAGTGCGTTGTGGGACATAACCTAACCCACTGCGGAGGTAAAGGACACCGTGCTCGACTGGCGCATATAACCCTATATTTATTACTTGAATAAAATCAAATGATCCTATTGCTTTAATTAGGATCAAAAGCTCTATTATAAAAAGTAGATTATTTTAGTACTGCGAGTGGTTTCACATAGTTATGATCAGATTTTTGAAGATTTTTTCTTAAGTTAAGAGAGTACTTACCACATTGACGAACTCTTGAAAAGTAATAGCGTTGCTTGTTGCGCTCTGCGCTTTGTCCAGGAGAATCTGAAAAAATTCAAATATTACAAATGAAATAGTACAAAACGATTTTTTTATAATTTCAGCTAAATATTAAACAGTCGTAGTAAACGTCTGGCGGAATTGAGATCTTTGCTACTTTAACCAAAGCTAACTTTAACCGAAATCCTTAAGAAACTGTTTTCTTCAAGCCGAAAGTACCGACAATATCTGATTCATGTGGCCACTTACTTCACGTTTGTGGGGCGGCACCTGTGCTATAAAGTCGGGATGTTGAAGAGTTTGTAAGAAATCAGGCCACGGGATCTCTCCAAAACCTTCTGGATCGAACTGTAACAAAAGAAACCAAAGTCAAACTAGAAGTTATTTAAGTTCAATCTGTCTGCATAGCAAAAACTGCAATCATAATCTCTTCGGAGATTAAGTATTTGCATATAATTTTGAGGACGGAAAATCTGAGAAGCTTTAAACAAAAAATGGTGATAAAGGTCAGGTAGAGGTGTGACTTGGTTGATCCATTCGAGGTGTTTATTAATTTGGCCACGACTCGATACGGTCACGTCGTGCAGCCCTTGATTATGATTTCACAGTGGCACCCCGAATGTCATAACAGTCGTCACTCAGTTCACACATGTGCCTTCAGTTATATTTTCATGTGTTTCCCAAAACAGTGGCACAAAAAATAAGAAGCGCCCCATCTCAAGTATCGCACTATCTCAATGCGTCGTACGTGACGACACAACGTTTGATCTGCGCGCCACCGCCACTTTATCTACTTATAAAACATTTTATATCCCGCTTCTGTACATTTTAATCAGTCAGAGACAAAGGATATTCTTTGAAATTTGTTTCCGAATCCTAAACGACAGTTTTTATGAAATATGCGGGCTTTAATTCCTAACTTTATATGACAGTCACCACTTTTACGACGTTTTAAAATAATTATTGTCATTTTATATTCACATGGTTAATAATAGCACCAGTTTTTACAAACTTATCCGTTCATAAATAACAAAATTAATCACCATATCAATCATAGGAATGGTTTGAAGTCTATGGAATTAAAAACCTATATCACGACTCATGAGGTACCTAAACGCATACTCGTACTGACTTTTTGGCTCTATTATCAGTGCACAGGATTAATCAAAGTCGATTTCACTGTTCTTAAATCTTTAAAACTATCCAACGGGTCTTGATGCTTTGTTTATTAATAAATATATAGAGCGATTGAAGACGAAGATGTAGGTATGTATAATATCATCAAATAAATACTGAACTTTAGTATCAGTATTGTACCAGAGCGGAGTCAGGGCAGGAGTGCGATTCACTAAGGCAAAACATCTTTACAACCGAGAAATCATCGTTGAAACATCTGATGAAAACTTATCGGTATTCTTTAGTTAAAACTGCGCGGTCGTAGCGCCACAACGATGTCGACGGCGCGACATAGAACTAAAATATGGTTCCGAATGTATGAAAAACGGTATTCAGAAACACAAAACATCCTCGCCTTCAACGACAACGGCGCGTTCGCCTTAGATTTTACCTGTCAAAGCGTAAAGCTTGTAAATTGTGGATGTTTCCTTGGTTGTAGACAATTAAAACGTAAGTAAAACAAGTTATTTTTTAAATTATAAATGCTTAGTATTGTTTTGTTTACCGTACTTTAATTCGTGAAACTTTAAAGCCTATTTTTAATGTTTTAGATGGCAGTTCGTCTTTCCTGTATGATTTTTTTGTTGGAAGAAGCTAAGCGTCGAGATAATGTAGAAAAAAGACGTCAGGCACATGTGATACGTAATATGGATCTTCTTACTACTGATACAGAATTTATAAAAGTATTCAGGTTGACTGAAGAGTTAATTAAACAATTGGAAGAAGATATTTCACCATTTTTAGCAAAGACGAAACGTAAAGGAGGAATTTGCAACCGAACTAAGGTATAACTAAATTAATTAAATTTATATTATTATTATTATAACTATTATATCACTATACTTATAGTGAAAAATGTCTAAAACTTAGGTACTCTCATTCCAGATTTTATGCACTCTCGCATTTTTAGCTAGTGGGAGTTACCAAAAAATATTATGTGAGAATGCAAGAACCTATATCTCGCAAGCATCCACCTCGAGGGCTATAAGAACCGTAGTAAATGCCATCAACCACCCAGCTATCATTAATAAGTACATAAGATTTCCTCAAAATACAAACGAAAGGCAAATTCTCAAAGAAAAGTAAGTATTTCATAAGTTTCACACTTTTATTTTTACCTTTACTAATTAGATTCTTTCATGAATCAACCCATTATGTTTTTTTTTTGTTAACTACATATTTTTTGAATTGTCTATCTATCTTTATAGATTTTACGAAAAGTTTAAAATGCCTGGAACCATTGGTTGTGTTGATGGTACCTTGGTATCAATGGTTCGGCCCAAAGAACATGAAGAAAGATATTACTGTAGAAAAGGGTATCACGCTCGAAATGCTGTTATTGTAAGTTTTTTTTATTTCATTAAACCTAAAGTAGGAATAGGAACATCTGTTTCAAACCATATTTTAATCTTTTATTTTTGCCTTTTAAGATAAATGATCCAGACTTAAATATAATGCATGTGGATGTAACTTTTGGAGGTGCAACACATGACAGCTTTATATTTAATAACTCAGTCATAAAAACGCATTTGGAGCAGCTAAATAATACAGGAGAAACAGTGTATCTGCTTGGTATGTATTTTATAATGTTTCTTTACAGAAATTTTACCTGTTTTCGAGGGTATTTAAATATTAATATTAAATTCAGTTATTTTCATTAAATGAAATTCCTGTTTAATTTATTTCAGGGGACTCTGGTTTCGCTCTTAGACCATATATGATGGTTCCATGTAGCAACCCTGGGCCTGGATCAAAGGAAGAATATTATAATGATCTGCATGCCACTGCAAGAAATACTGCAGAACGAACCATTGGCATACTTAAAGGCCGTTTTAGGTGCCTTTTGGTTCATCGTGTTCTTCATTATGATCCAGAGATGGTGGGAAAAATTATTAAAGCTTGTTGTGTGTTACATAACATTTGCAATCAAGCCAGAGTTCCTCCAGTGGAATTACCAACACATCTACAGAGACAAGAAGCAAGTGTGATCCGGTTACTACAACAAGGAAGCCAGAACTCTATCAGTGATTTGGATAGTGGACGTCTTGTTAGAGGTCATCTAATTGATAGACTGTGGCGTGGACAAAATAGTTAATAATAGAAGTAAATAAATACTAACAATAGACTTAAGATAATTATTACTAACTCAGGTGTTAAGACTGTTTAATAAAAAATATATTGTTGTTAATAATTGTTTGTCATTAAATAAAGAAAGAGGATGTTTTTTTTAAATTACTTATATAATCATGTTTAACCTAAAGATAAAATTAATATAGTCTAACAAAATAGTATGTACCTAGGAAAAGCCATTTTAATATACTTAATTAAAAAATAAAACAATCTTTTAGCTTAAATTTTATTTTTATTTATTAATATAATCTCGAATTACGCTACTTATGTTATCTAGAGCCTGAGCCATAGCCCGATAACCCTCCACTTGCTGACTAATTGCTTGGGCAATCAAGAGTTCCGCTTGTGCTCGACGTTCTTCGATGGCTATGAAACGCTCTGTGATGCTAACCATTTCAGAGCGACGTTGTGACGGAGGTGAGCGTCTCAATAGTCGCCGGCGCGATGCAGATTGACGCGGAGATAGCTGGTGAGTGCGTCGGCGACCGCGTACTGTCTCACTGTGCACACGCCGTGTAGGAGCTGTAATTAACATACTTATCAACCCATCATGTCGTGATATTAATATTATTTTTCAATAAATATTTGGTTAGAGAGTGCATCATACTTTGACTGCCCCTTTCCAAAACATCATTTGCGTGTGCTACAGGTCTTGCAAGCTCAGTAAGCGAAACCTGAAAATAATTATAGTTGTTGAATATTTTATCGTTTATAATGAATAGTTTATATTATAATTTTCCAAAATCATACCCTGTTTTCTTCAGCTTCTGGACTATGAGCATCTGGTGCTGGTGGTACTTGTGGTATCTGTGCTAGATTGTCTTGCACACTATCCACATCAAAAGCAGCAAGATTAGACTGGAATAGAATTGTTTGCTAGGTTCTTTTAATTATTCGAGATAACATAAAAAATTACACTTGCAGCCCAAGTGATACCATGTCCTATTTAGCACTATAGGTTTGTACCAATTTTATTTATTATATACTTATTATACTTGTATTGATGGTGTTATGCACCTTAGTGTAGAGGTAATTTATTGTGAGAGGTATAAGCATAGGTAGTGACCTAATGCTTAGTGGAAAAATACATCAATAAAAGAATAAACAAATCATATACCCATTGCATTTCATGGCCTGGCTCCTCACTTTGGTTAGCCTGCTGCACATTTGGAGGGACAATATTCTGAAAATAGAATATTTACATATTATATTTATATGTTAACTCATTAAACTGACAAAAAAAATTAAAACTTACAAGTAAAATGCTGGGAGACTCTTCACTTTCCACAGTTCTATTTAATGGTTCTTGCTAAAAATGTAAAAGTATTATATTACTTATTAATATCAATCAAATCAATAAACTTTTTAAGGTCTATATAGCCTTGAAAACTACAAACCTCAAAAGGATTTATTTCTAAATTTTGATCTCCGCAACCAAAACTTTCTCCTCCCATAATGGTTTGGATTTTTAATTCTATCTCACTAAGTTGTGGCAAATCTTCTTCTATGCCACCACCAGTGCGACGCCTCGCGGCTGCAATTAAGCTGGACTTCCTCTTAACTGCTCCTTTTTTGTCCTTCCAGTACTGCAACACAAGTAACGATTTTATGATTTAATGTATTAAATAAATGGAACGCCTATAAGCTTGGTTTGGTTTAATTTTGCCAATTACCCTGTAGTCTAAACTAATATTATAAAGAAGAAAGCTTTGTATTTTATGTTCGTAATGAATAAACTCAAAAACAACTGCGCTGACTTCAAAAATTCTTTCACCATTAGAAAGCTACATTCACCCTGAGTTACAAGCGTAGTAACATAATATTTTATCCCCGTACTTACACATGAACGGTACTAGATTAGTACTAACATCCGCTAGTTAATACTAATCTAGTAATAAAGTACATACACAAAGGGCTGTCAATGCAAAAAGAAACTATACCATAGAAGGCTACCTACTCAATGCAACGGTATATGCACACAATACTTATAATTACCAACCTTACACCACTGTTCCGATGTTTTCATACACCCACTGCCATCACTGTTCAGGGCTGTTGTTATTTCGGACCATGCCTGACGACTGCGAATGCGAGCATTTGCAGTACGAGCATGGCCCATAGCCAACCATGGTTTGTTTTCTAAAAAGCTTACTAGCTTTTCCAGCTGATCTAACGAAGGAGCTGCGTTGCGAGACACTAAAAGTTAAATATTTTGGTTACTTATACAGTAGTTCCACAAACTCCTATATTTAAATAGAAATGTAACTACTTATATACTTACTTTCGATAGGTTTGGGACCAAACTAAAACACAGAACAAGTAGAACGCCATTGGGTTGGAGTGCACAATTTTTTTAAAGTCCATTTAGCCACTTAAAACCACTTAGAACTTTGGAATTTCGTATTTTGATAAAAAACTTTCAAGATAAGATCAAGTTGTTTGTTTTGAAATACATAACCTACAAATAAAAGTGTCAAAGATTTAGTTTTGTTTTATTGCTATAATCAAAATTAATTATTTTCCAAGTCTAAAATGATATAATTAATTAAAAATTTGTTGCTTATTAAATATAACGTGTTTTATACATACGTAATGTGCATTTGTATTAATTTAAAATGACGAAATAACTTAAACATAGGTTAGTCGAGATTTTCTCGATTATACTCTAGATTAAACATAGCAACACTGCCAACATCATACTCATCATCGTTGTTCGGCAGATCGTCGACGAGCTTATGTTGCTTAGCGAATACGGTTTTTATCAACGTTGTTTTTAGAAGCGATATTTACGATGAAACATCCGTGAACGCGTCGTTGTTAACATCTATGATGATTCTGTTAGTGAATCGCATTCCTGATCGCTAGTTTTTCAATAAAATCACTAATTTTATCCTCATTTAAAACCTGTAAGGATGCTTAAGTTTAAATTAACACCACGGTTACAGTAATAAATGATGTTATGTTTACAATATCGCAAAACTTTGTTCATAATAAAACAAAGTAGGTAAGTAATCTTTTTGTTTACCAACACGAGGGGACAGGTAGCGAAATAAGTCACCGAGATATCGCACATGGCATCAACAACGCTGTCTCGCTGTCAACTAAGTAAGTTATTGTCGTTCAATCAAGACAATATCATCACTTTTTTATGGAACAGGAGGCGAAGGAGCAGACTGATCACCTGATGGTAAGTGATCGGCGCCGACCTGCGGCACCAGAGAAGTTTAAGAAAGAATTCGCTCGTTTTTTGAAGGTTTGAAAGTCGTATCGGTTCCGAAATGCTACCGCCAGAATATCATTTCAAATTTTTGCTGTGCGGGGCAGGAATTTTCGCGTAAATCGCACAGTTGTTGACTGCCAACCACCTATGTGATAGGGATGCAAACGTTTGCACGTAGAACGATGGCGATATCAATACCTGCATCCTACAAACAAATTTTAATTCACCCACCTATTTACTTTGTTTTCTATGTTTTATAACGGCAAACGCGCTGACGGCATAGTGAGCAATTGGTGACGCCCATGCAGTAGGTATCCGAGGAGAAAAGGATGCGTTGCCGACGTTTTGGAGATTTAAGGATTGGGGAGGGATTGGGAGAGGAGTTGGCGTGAAATAAAGCTGTAGTTGTTTCACGCCTGTTTTCTGCGAGGATGTAAATACATAATATTTTCGAAAATAGGTACTAGCTAATACTTAGACATAAATCTCGTAAAAACTAAAAAGTTTTTGATTGTGTGCATGATACTTACTCTATCAAACAACAGGCGCCATTTCTGAAACATAAAACATAGTGCAGTTAGTTACAAACACTTTGTAATTCTAAGACTAATTAGAAAATGTCTAAGGCTATTTACGACATACTGAAACAAATGCCAGTTAAGTGTAATTAAAAACAAAAACAATGAGGACTCACACGTGTATCTAACGTACAATAACCCCAAAATTAACTGTAACTTAATTTAACAAATATGCTTCGATGACGTAAACCTATTGTTTTAAAATGAACTAGCAACACAAATACTTCCTAGACTTACATCGTGCATCAACTCCCGCCGTATTTCCGCCTCGTCCAATTCCGAGCCGAGATCCGTATGATCTGTGTCATAGAGTGGTTCTGCTGCCCGGGATATGGATCCGAGGGAGTCTCTAGCCGAGGCGAGGGATCCCGTGACTGTCGGCAGCACTCCGGCTTCAATCCCGGACTCCATGGAGGTGTTGGTCGAGAGGATAGTGGCGGCAGCCGGCGCGCGCATGTCGCCGCCTGCGCCACTTCCCACCCACACAGACATTCTGCTTGCAACACCATCCACACTACTGCACTTGCCTTCTATTGCAACAATTCTTCTGATATCATACTATTTTCATTTGCCTCCGCGAATAACCGTAGTCAACAATTATATATGTGCTAATTTAGACTATTCTTTGGACAGATAATGGGACCTTCTTTTTCTTAATTTCAGTGAATGGACGCTTAACTTTGGACTTGAAATTTCAATGGACAGAAATAAATCATTATCAACAGGTAAATAGATTCTGAAGCGTGGAAGATGGTTATAAGGCACGTTGTTCTCTCTATACCTTCCGTCGTGATTAATGCACCTGAAACAAAAGATTAAAGACGTAAGTGGTTACTACGTTGCTAATTTTTTGAAGACTTTTTCATGGCTAGAGAAATTTTCTGCTTATTACACATGAGAGGTGCAGACATCCCAGATAACAGTTAGGTACTTCCAATATAGTATAACGAACCTACACTATAAGTACATATTCTAGAAGTAGATAATTATATGTACCAACCTACATTACAATACAGTAAGTAATTTAAGCAGAATAATCTAAAGGCAAAATTCTCTTCCCTCGCCATAAGGCCCCAAAACGGATTTATTCAAAAGAATCGTTCTTGACCTAATTCAAAACAATAGCGTAACGTCATTTCAAGTTCTTGAAAATTCCGATTTCAAAAACCTTTTGTATTTTGGCCGACCCCAATTACTAATAATAATTAAATGAAATCAGTAGGTATGTAGTCCCCCGCCATTTTGCAGACCATTAATTATGAATAGGAACTAATTTTTGTAAAACCAACACTCCCATATAATATCAAGAAAAAGTATATGCTAACGATCTATAAAGTATCAATTAAATCTACGTCTCTCGGTAGATTTAGGTAGAGTCCAGAGGTAGAATCTTGACTTAGAATCTTGTTTATCTTCTGGAAGAGTATATTGGATCATTGGATGTCTTCAAGGCTCTAGTCAATAAGTTACTGATGGGTAAACGTGCTCCATCGTAGGTTGCATAAACGCTTACCCCCAGGCGATATAGTAGCCAATCTAAATAATAGAGAGTGGGCCATTACAAATATATATAAACATTAAAGATAAGTAGACCACATTCTTAGTTACTGAGTAAAAGAGATCTAGGATTTCTAATAGTGAACAAAAAGTTACATTAGTCTTGATAATTTATTTATTAATCTTATTTGCTGCGATTTTAAATTATTTTTTCTAACTCCGAGATAGCCAATCAGCTGAGGGGAGGAAACGTTAACAGAACGCTGTGGGCTAGAGGGCTACAACCCTCTTGACGTTGCCATAGCAACCGCCCGCAATTCCATACCCCGCTTAACATTGGTAAGTAGACTTCTAACGCAAACACGTGTTTTGTTAGGGATTTCTTATAAGTAATTACAACTAAGTATTGAATACAGTCAAAACTGTCCGTAATTAATTAAATAGGTATTTACACTTTATTGCTTAGATTTTTATTCTAACGAATTTTCCGGTTTACGTTTAATGAAAATTACATTGCTATATTTAAAAATAAAAAAATGTTAGCCTTTTTAGTTTGTAAGTAAATGCTTAATGTTTATATCTTCCTAACTACAGCATGATAAGTGATTCAATGAATCGGTCAGAGGTGTAAACACATCCAATTAATCAAATGTTTATCTACTGAACCGAAAAAATCGTTTGTTTTTCCTTAATCAACATAACCAAAACCGGTCACTTACCTTTATCTTTTTTAATTGTTCACACCACTATCATAAGGGATAATTCACACGGGGCCCCATTTCCAAAATACCACTTATATTATTCGTTTCGTGTCAAGAACACATTAGACTTCTAAACGCGGTGGACATTTAGTTATGTCAAAACACTCCGAATGCTAGTGAAAGTGAGAATGGCGTCCAGATTTCAGCGCATGCGTGCTGCATAGAATCACAAGAGGGTACTTGCCATTAAATATATATGGACCCTTTGAAACGCTGCTTTGTACCACAACGTGAGCTGGTTTAATAATATAGAAGTGTGTTTCTTACGACGCAGACAGCTATTATTTAATTGGTGAATGTTTAATGTATGGTTAATGGGTGATTGGTTAGATATGAGTAGGACCGAATATTTTACCTACACTATCGCTACCAAAATAAAAAAGGGCGTAATGTGTTTATACGTGCCTTGGTAGTGATTTAAAACTGTTAACAGTATCCAGTATGAAGATGACTAACTATCCTCCCAATACATGACAAAAATTGTTCGTTTAAGACTTAGGAACACAAAATTGGGAAAAACTGTAATTCAATATTCAGGATATTTACACCTATCTTGACTAAATCCAAAACATCTAAGTATTCATAATAGTGCCTGATTTACTTTTAAGAGCAAGTATCTTAGAAGCAATCTTGTATGGAAATAACACTAGGCGTTATAGATAATTTTAATTTTTATTAGTTGCTTGTAGAAACCATTTTATATGAAATACGCGTTGATTTAGTTTTTTGATATTTAATCGTTTTTTTTTACAATTTTTCGCTTTATAGAATGTAGATAAAAATATTTTTTACATTAACCAGGTTACTGGCAAGGTGGCAACATTCTTTTGCAAATGTCACAATATTTGGTTTCGTCGTGGATAGTGAAGTGCAGTGAAAAGAAAATTATGTAAGACAAACAAAAATAAACCGAAATTTCATGTTGTGAGTGCATTTTATCCTCAAACGTTATATTAGTATGCCTACTGGGCGAGCTGTCCTGCTGTTGCGGCGTCTTTCGACGGGTGATAATAGGTTCAAAAGTCTGAATTTGAATCAAAATAGTACGAAGGAGCCGCTGCTTGGTAACCCGGTGTGCACTCACCGAGATTTGGTCTTGCCCAAAAGGTATACCGACTTCTTTTATGCTATATCTAATGTTATACACAATTCTTATCTATAACTTATAAGAACATTTGGAACAGAAACCAACGATAATGTAATTATTAGGATGACCTTGTTTTGTTTACATGTTGTGTTTATGACTGTGTAAGAGAAAGGAAACCTCGTCGTTAATTATAAATAATTCATTAAGGTGTATGAACTTCTTTGCCATTATTAACTTATGTAATCCTGACTACATGGAGTATATTCCAAATAATACTTTGACCATTTTTTAAAGAATAATGTTTTTTGATAAGTCATAGCTGTAAGTAGTAAATAAAGATATGTATTATAAAAATGTGTAATTGCTGTCTTCAATTATAACAAGTTTATAATTAAAGACAGCAATTACACTTTGAAACACCTGTATAAATATCTTATATTGCAAACAAAAATGTTTATAAATGTATGACCAAGCATGAGATGAATGATCTCACTACCATTGACTGTATTACTACAGTGCAGTTATCATCATTACCATCCACTGTTAAGCCTGTCTTTAACCATATGATCATGGTTGAGATTTCCTCACAATGTTTTCCTCGTTATGGCAAAGAAAATGTGGTCTAAATAATCATAGAAAGTATAAATAACTCAATCAGTGTCATGTTGATACTTGCCATGCTTCTAACCTCCATGGCATGTTTTTAACCCTCTTGTATAAGAGGCGAGTGTTTATCCCTTAAGCCACCATGATGGCTAAAGTGCCCCACTGCCATAGATAAGGAAAAACAAACAAAGAAATTATACTAAAATATTATTATTAATTTGTTACAGTCAAACTTTCAAGGTCTTACGAATTATTAAAAAAACAAGTTTATTGCTAAATTAATTGATAACCAAGTATTACATATTTGTGAGTATATGATTTGATGATTTATCAAACAATAGTCAGTGTCAATGATTACTCTATAGTTATTTTGTTCAAACTTGGCCATTATAGAAACAATCATAGGAAATAGTAATATCAAACATATTTTCCAAAAAAAAATTTAGAAACCTATTTTTATGATATAAATAGAGAGCTGAATCTGAAATCTTTGGATCAAGATCAATTTTTTGTCAATACCCATTTCGATCTGGTGATTATTTGTTAAATTACATTATTAAATTCTGCTGTCATCCAAACTGCAACTGCACTATAAAAAGGCATTGAATATTGTCGACATTGGAGGCAAACTTGCATACTCCTCTAATAATAATTTATTGAACTGTTAGACTGCAAGGTTGGCATAGTGACTGGGTCACTGGCTGCTGCGCAAAATGTCATGGGTCACACTTTGTGTGATCCTCAAATTATTGCTTAGGGTCTGGGTTTGTGAATTTCATGTTTGTAAACGCACGAACGCCACAGGAGTAAAGCCCAAGCTGGGGCAACATCGAAAAAGAAAAGTGTGTGAACTAAATTTTTATTTTATTTACTTTTAGTTTAAAAATTAAACAGAATAAAACTTTAAGTATCAATCAAACAAAATTTTTCTATGCTTTACTTATTTACAGGTTATCAACATTTGGACCAAGTAATATTACAGTGCCACAACTAACAAGGAGTCTCAGTGACAATAAGATCATAATGGCAACATCTACTCCACCTACAGATCAACCAAAGCATACCAATCGTTTAATTACTGAAAAATCTCCCTATCTTCTCCAACATGCTCACAATCCTGTGCAATGGTACCCATGGTGCCAAGAAGCTATTGATAGAGCCAAAAAGGAAAACAAGCTTATATTCCTCTCTGTAGGATACTCTACTTGCCATTGGTGTCATGTCATGGAAAAAGAATCATTTGAAAATGAGGATGTAGCTAAGGTAATGAATGAGCACTTCATAAACATTAAAGTAGATCGTGAAGAAAGACCTGACATTGATCGTGTCTACATGTTGTTCATACTGGCGACGAGCGGCGGCGGTGGATGGCCGATGTCTGTCTTCCTTACTCCTGATCTACGCCCCGTCACCGGAGGCACATACTTCCCTCCTGAAGATCGATGGGGAAGGCCAGGTTTCAAAACAATTCTTCTATCATTGGCTAATAAATGGAAAGAAAATCAGGAGCAGTTCATGGAAGCCAGCGTCAACATCATGCAAGCACTACAAAAAATATCTTTAGTTGACTCTGAAAGTTCTAATGCTGTACCTGGAGAGGCAACTTGGGAAAAATGTGTCCGCAGGTACATCAATAATTACTACGAACCAGAATTTGGCGGATTTGGATCAGCACCAAAATTTCCACAAGCTTCCATTTTCAACTTTTTGTTCCATTATTATGCGCGTGATAAAAACAATGCTGAGGGTAAGAAATGCTTGGATATGTGCTTGTACACTTTAACTAAAATTGCAAATGGCGGTATTCACGATCACATTTCCAGTGGTTTCGCCAGGTACTCCGTTGATAATGATTGGCACGTACCTCATTTCGAAAAGATGCTCTATGATCAGGCTCAGCTGACGGTTGCTTACACTGACGCTTACCTCGCGACAAAAGATGAGTTTTTCGCTGATGTTGTCCGAGATATAATTAAATATGTAAATAGAGATCTGAGGCACCCCTCAGGTGGATATTACAGTGCTGAAGATGCTGACTCTTATCCTGAGGTAGGAGCTCCGCATAAGAAAGAAGGAGCCTTTTGCACTTGGCATTATAAGGAACTGAAATCTCTTCTCGAACATAAGAAAGTCAATGATTCACTATCATATTTAGATGTCTTCTGCGACTACTTTAGTGTAGAAGCTGATGGAAATGTATCTCCTGGAAGTGATCCTCACGGGGAACTTACCAACCAGAACGTATTAATTATTTATGGCAGTAAGCAAGAGACAGCTGAGAAGTTTAAACTGTCTATGGAGCAGTTTGATCAAGTTATAAATGACTGTGTTCAGATCTTGTATGAAGCACGTCAAAAGAGGCCCCGTCCACATTTAGACACAAAAATGCTGTGTTCTTGGAATGGTTTGATGATAGCTGGTTTAGCGCAAGCTGGTCAGGGCTTAGGAGAGAAACAATTCGTTGAGGATGCAATCAAAACGGCTGAATTCATCCAGAAACATTTGTACGACGAAACGAATAAAATTTTATTACATTCTTGCTATAGAGCTGAAGATGGAACCATTGCCCAGACGTAAGTGAATATTTAAAATAAAATGACACCTAACAGAAATTGTGACACTTAACTTTCGTTTATATCAATTTTATTTGTTGACAGTAAGGAACCGATAAAGGGATTCTTGGACGACTATGCTTTCTTGATCAAGGGCTTGTTGGACTTGTATGAGGCATCGTTGGACTACCGCTGGCTAAAGTGGGCGCGTGACTTACAACAGAAACAGAACGAGCTCTTCTGGGACTCTGTCAACGGTGGTTACTACACTTGTTCTGAAGACGACGCTAGTGTGGTGTTACGACTCAAAGAGGGTAAGTTCATGCACATAATACACTAATAAACGCAAAGACTATGGATATTAAGTATGGGAGAGTCATGCTTCGACACGAATGGGTCGGCTCGACCAGAGTTCTATTACAGCCTTACAGAAAACCGGCATGAAACAACAACAGCGTTGTGTTTCGCCATGTGAGTGAGTTTCCTAAAAGCCCCTTTCTAGTTTCCCCTAATTCCTAAATATCCAAATCCCCAATCCCCAGAAGGTCGGCAATGCATTCGTAACTCCTATGTTGTTGAGGCTGTCCGTGAGTAGCGCTGATTGCTTACCATCAGGTAATCCGTATGCTCAAGCTAAAAAAAGTTGCAAGCTATGAAAATAATTAACTATACGGAGTTCAATATTTGGAATTATAATAATATTCCTATACCATATAAGCATAGTATCCGTATTCGTCATTCCTCTCTCCTTTTTGTCCCCATTAATGTACAATGAACAAAGGAGTGGTGTTATTAATTCTCATTAATAATTCCTTTCAGATCAAGATGGAGCTGAACCTTCAGGTAATAGCGTGGCCTGCCACAACTTGCAACGTTTGGCAGCGTACGCAGACAAGAGCGCGGCCCCTGAGGGCGGCGATGGCGAGAGAGAAATGGCAATGAAATTGCTCAAAGCATTCTCCAAGAGACTCAACGATGCCCCCACTTCTCTACCGGAGATGATGTCTGCCCTCATGTTTTATAATGACTCCCCTACTCAGGTTTGTTATACTTTATTGGAATCTATACTTCTATACTAATATTATAAAGAGGGAAATTTGTATGTAGGGGGTAATCGTTGGAAATGCTGGTCGGTTTTCTAAAATTAATGTTTCTGAGTGCTATAGGCTATAAAACATCACGCTACGACTAAATGGAGCCGAGCAGCGGGTGAAACCGCGCTACAGTAGCTAGTATATTATAAAGCTGAAGAGTTTGTTTGTTTGAACTTGCTAACCTCCGGAACTACTGGTTCGAATTGAACAATTCTTTTTATGTATAAAACATCACACTATGATCTGTAGAAGCTGAGCTGAGCTGAGAGGTGGAACCGCGTGAGACTAGCTAGTATTATAATAAAAATAAAAAAATAAAAATGATTCAGGGCAACCGGTGGTTCTTAGACAGAGACACAGAGACAGTGTCTGTCATTCCCTCTTGCCAGTGAAAGAGGACGAAAAAGTCATGTGACGATTTTTAATTAAAAAAAAAAAGAATAAGCCTAATAAATGGTATTCAAAATGAATAGATATGCTGAGATCGAAATGCCATTTGTATTTTGAACGACTTTTAGATTTAGTTTCGGAATTTATGTTACTGAATTATATCAGTTAGAAGACACGAAACATTTCATAAGTTGCTCAATCGGTTGGAAATAACATTTCTGCGATGAACTTATTTATTTGGCATCTTGCCAAGCTAAAGTCGATATCTCGAAAAGACAAAGACTCACATTTGAAATTTATTGCTGGTGTCATTTGATAGAATAGTATTTCTTAAATAATACGTTTTATCATAAAGCCATCAGTCTCTTGGTCCTAACATACATTCGTATTATGTCGTTTACAATGGTAATCACTGATACATAGGTCCAATGTTCCTGAGTTATATAGGCTATAAATCATCAAGCTACGATAAAATGGAGCCGAGCAGCGGGTGAACCCGCGAGAGAGCTAGTCTATTATAAAATCCACTACAATCTATTTTTAATCTTACCTACTTCTTATAAGTAAGGTTGAAAATTGTTGAATGTGCTGTTTGATCATACTGGTATCGGTTAGAAAAATCTCTAATTGATTTCCGATCTTATTCATAATACAGTTGAAATTGTATTTATTAGCTTGATATATCTGCCGCAGGTGCTGATAGCTGGTGGTTTCTCGGACCCGCGTACGCTGGAGTTGGTCCGCGTGGTGCGGTCCCGTCTGCTGCCCGGCCGCGTGCTGGCCGTCGCCGACCCCGCCGCCGAGTCGCCCGCCGGTATGTCCGACATACGTGAGTCTGGCTATCTCAAAATCTGCTTGCTCACTAACTTTATCATCATCTATTTATTAAGCTTTTTTAATAATAAGCGTTTCTTAAAATAACAATAACGGTTGACGCCGAGGCTAGAACAACTCTTTGATCCACAAACTGTTGTTCCGGGTCTGCGTGTCATGTGTATGTGTAATTGTATGTTTGTAAATGCACCTAAAACACAGGAGAAAATATTAGTGACAACAGGCAACGGTTTAAAAAAAAGTAATATTAATTACTTATAGGTAAAACAACAAACGCCATCTGTTACTTAAACAGGCTTCGTTCATTTGACATTAATCGTAAACAAATGAAATGTATTTAATTAATTGTTTATTTTAACTTATTAGGATTTTTTGATATGTCCCCCCCGTGATATGGTAGCTCTGTAACGTCAGGTCCAACTACCTGTCAAAACACTGTTATATTTTTCGACCATTTTTTTGGTTTATTTATTCAAAAACGTTACAAACGGAATATTGTTTTCCAAAATGCCACAGTCTTAAGCAGTGCCTATGAGTGCAAATAAAAAGAAGGACATAAGTTCCCTACAGAAGATAAAAGCCGATTTAAACAGTGGCTTGTAGCCATAATAAAATCAATATCAGTAACACTTCCGAATACGTAAAATTTTACTAAAATATTAATACTTTCGGTAAGAATCTGTGCAATCTGACAGCTGTTTGGACCTGACCCATACGAAGCGCCGCCTGGCGGCAGAAAAAGTATCGAAAACCCTCATTAAGTTGAAATGACTTATAACATGGCAGGACTACTATTGTTTTTTGTTTAAGAATAAAAAAATATAATGTATATCGCTCTAGACTATAATTTACTCCTGTGGCTTTCCAAACTTCCATATAAGCCCACAAGTATTGACATTTATTAATGTTGTTTCCAGTGTTGAGCCGTATCAGGTCTGTGGGCGACGTCCCGACGGCGTACGTATGCCGTCGCTACGCGTGCTCACTGCCCGTCACCGACGTCAAGCAGCTCGAGAACTTACTCGACGAGGCGCCCGCCGCGCCCTCTCTCAACACTAAATGAACTACATGGAAAATTGTTCTGTTTTGCATAATATACCCATTTACTATTTTACTAATCAACTATGTAATCACTTCCTTTTCAAAGTAATAATATAGGTAATTAGATGACTACATATTTTCAACCATTTATTCTGTAGTGTCAATCAAGACCGAGCTAAAGAAGTTGAGCTTAGAAGCTGTCAAATCGTATCCTAAGTAGAACTTGGTACTGGCTCTGGGCATGTTGAAGTCTGCACTGTTTCAATTGCCTACATAAATACGAATGGGTATATTATGAAAACGAATCCGATAGACAGCTTTAAATCGGAAAGTGATGTTAATAAAATGTTATATTTTAGTAACTACCTTGAGTCATACCTACAGCATTTGTTGAAAATAACGACATACGTAAATTACCTCATCAAAGCTCTACTTGTTTCGGGTCACAACGGAGCTCCTAATTATTCGCGACGCATGTTAATAAGAGTTTGACTTGAACCTAGTAAAGCTTTTCTCAGTTAATTCACGTAAGTAAGTTATTACTTTCAATAATATTGGAATGGTTATAGGGCTACTCCACTACTTACCAAGTCATTAAATTACAATGTAAAGCTTAATAACCTAGTCATCGAAACAAAACAATCGTGGCCGTGGTCATCAATGTTGTTAGTTAGAACACGTTAGAAATCTCATGACAATCTCTAGGTATTTATTTAGCAATCTCAAGTCTTATACATTTTAATAAGTACATACATACATATATCTCGTTACTAACAGTATACTAGTAGTAATCTAGATGTCAATTTTATAAGTATTTCTGTCGCCGTTTAATTAAGGTTGCGCGTGACTATAAAATTTTGTAGTTTCTAAAATATTCGAATGTCTAATCTTCGTAATATTGCTATGTAACTCGATGTAGTATTTATAGCGTTCTAGAATCTGTCAAATATAAGTAATTCTTTAAATTGCGAGTATAAAATTAAATGTAACACCTCGTAAAAATAATTGGCAATGTTTAGTCTGAAGTATGTGATAGTTTTATCAAAAAGTTGAATACAATATGTATTGTATAGTAGCAAAAAGCATTATTTTGTAACTAGCTAGCTAGTTTAGATCCTATGACAACTGTCATAAAGTATATAATTTGTGTAGTTTTCTACGATTGGTGATGTATTCGTTGTTATTATTTTTATTTATTGATAAAATTTGGACAAGTAGATGTCGCTATAAGCAAATTTTTTGTTGTATTTGTGATATTTTTACGTAATAAATACTGTTACGAAATCGTGTTATTTCATTTAACACCTGTCGAAAGTAATTTTCACATGTACGTGGGGCAGGATGGATATGAAAAAGCTTATTGTTTGCGTAAAATCTTTGCGTTGAATTCGACACTCGGTGGCTCATAAACCACAGCACCCGATGATGCCATGAGCCGACTTTTTTATGAGCGGCAAATCATATAATGTATTTTTCCTCGAGAGTGAGGCGAGAGGGAGTGCCACTCTTACTGACTAAAAATCCCCTTCCTTCTCCTGCTCTAGGTCAAGGCCACGGCGCCTCATTGCGCTTACCCCGCAGCCCTGGCTAAACATAAACCCTCCTGAGCCCCCTGATCTGGTGCGGGTACGATATGCTGGATTTTCCGTTTCATCGGTGCTCGATACATTTGGCGCTCTTGTCTCTTGACATCTTATCTTGTGGCCCTGACGGAGTCCCGCACTCTATATTGAAAATTTGCACACCAAAGCTAGCACCATTTTTTCTGTCTCCTTCAGCTTTACTTTTCGTAGTCCCGACGTCATGGAAGACTTGTCCATCCGATCCAGGTAGATTCCCTGATAAGTAATCGACGCCGCCCATGGACATCTGCAACACCAAAGCAGTTCTAATTGCGTTCCGGCCTTTTGGGGATCCTTATCCTCTTGAGTAAACTCCCTAGCGTTGGGGGACTTAGAGATAGAAGGATGATAGAGCATCCGGTACCTAACCTTATTCACACGATATTGTCACAGGGCAATTGAACCTAAAGAGGGAAGCACTGGAATTTGGACTGGATTAGACTTAGCGAAGGCCTTCGTTCGGGTTTCTCATAAAGCGCTTCTTTCAAAGCTTTCTTTTTATGGGCTTCCGGACTGCGCATATTGTTCTCCTGCTTTGACGTTGTCGACAAAATGCTCCTTGTTTGTGAATGCTGGTGTCTCTCAACGCTGCGTGTTAGGCAGGTCAGGCATTAGGTATCTACCAACCTGTTGCTCCTTCACATCAATTAAGTACCTACTCACATGTTATAATCGTGGCAAATTAAGGACCTACTCACATGTTATCATGGTGAATTAGTGGCATTCATTTGTTATGCGGACAACAAATCGATTCCGTGTTTCACCTCGGGGCATCGCCTGCTACTTTATAACTTTCTTTATTTCTTTCAAGTGTGGCCCCACATATGGATCATCTTTGGGCGGGACTCTAGTACTAGCTTCGGCTTCTCTGAGCCGTTCAAATCGTTTACTGTCCTGATATGACACTGCATAGGACTGCACCCTTTTTTTGTCAGGGGAAAATCATCATTTGACTTCTCCCGCCCAGTTTTAGGCGAGAGAGAGTGTCAGACTCTTACTGACTAAAAACCCCCCCGCTCCTTCTCCTGTTCTGGGCCGAGGCCACGGTGACTCATTGCGTTTAACTCGTAACCCCCCTGAACATCAGCCCTATAGGGCCCGTCTGTGGTGGTCTATTGGCTCTTTGAGGCGCGCGCGGAACGCTAAGCGCCGTTCGCTAGGGTTTGGTTCTGGTTACTTTTATACTGTTTTCTGGTCGGGCGGCGAGCTACTCTTAAGGACTGTACCCTCAATGTGCGTGTGTATCAGAGGAATCACAGGCGCGTTGCCAGTTTTAAGGAGCGCGCTCATTTCTTAAACGTTTGAAGGTCGTATCGTTTCGCGTAGATAAATCGCACAGTTGTTGACTGCCAACCGTCTATGTGATGGGAATAAAAAAGGTTTCGCGTAGAACGATGGCGAAAATATGTGGCGGGATCAAGCAACGAACATTTTCTCAGAACACTCCCTGTTATATATGCGATAGAGAACACATCTCTACACAGTGCCAAAGATTCCAGCCGGTAATGCCAGCCTTTCAGCGGTGTTACCGACCTTCAAGCCGTTAAGAATCGAGCATAGCCTGTGGCTTCTCTGAGTGTACGTGTCCATGGTCTCTAAGCTTTACTTTTTATATGAAGCGGTTTTGTATATAGTTATTTACACACATTTGAAATACATAAACTCCGATTAAGCTGGAAAAAGCTGCGTATATAGTAAAACGCAGGTAAATTTGTAACTTTCCTTTATTATTTCACAGTGAATAGAGATAATCATACGTAGTACATGTGTACGATACCGCAATATAAGTTACAGTTACGATTATACCTTGAACACTAACACCAATTATATTATTTATATATTGGGATCTTAGTTCAAATACATGTGAACAGACTGGATAAGTTACATCGAGATTTATTTGCTTATTTGTTCATATTTATTCTGATTATAGCAACATCGACTATGAAAAAGCATTTTTATATTGTAATAAATTATTTATTTCTCAATAATTAGACATGTAAGATAATAGAGAAGAAATAATGTGGAATAAGAAAAGATACAATATCTGCGCTCAGGAATATCCAATCACACATAACAATGAAGTTTCATAATTTTGATTTAAGCGTACCTGTATTGTTTTATAAATATTTTAGTGGATTCTGATGACGCCTAAACCTACATGTATATTATTTTGATCGAGTACCATTTTTATTGAATTAAAAATAAAATAAAATTAATACATAGAAGTGACATTGTGTCTATCACATCATTACCATAACTATGGACTAATATTTCAGATAATTGATTAGGCTCGGATCCAAATTACTAAATCATATTAAATGCAAATAAAATTGTATCATGATACAGGCAAATGATGAAAAATGTTTATTACATTTATAATGTTAGGTATAAGGAATTGTGTACATTTATGCGGGTTAAGGAAATATAAGCTAAAGGAATGTTAACTACTTATATTTTATGAATTACCAGTCAACTAAGATAACATTCTAGAGTTATTTTTCATCATTTGCCCGTACGTACTTCCAAGCATTAAATTAAATCAAACAAAATTATACCTAGGTATTTTCAGAAATGTAAATCCATACAACTAACTACGTTTAATACAAGTCATAAATATTAAATATCACATTAAGCTAATGTCAGTCCAGTCATAGGTTACGAACTACTTTAATCCACCTATGCTACTTACACATGAGCGAAAAATAACAAAAAAATAAAACACTCCGCACACATGCTACATGTGTTGAAAATTGTTTAACATAAAGCTTTATAAATAATAACATTCAATGTAAATTTACGCTTTATAAAATAGGGCAGACGCGTCATCCTACTTTATGTTTGTAAGACCCGTAGTGGGGGAGATACATCGGTGGTATTGTTACTGTGTTTATTACTTAGCCACGTTTCCAACCGTTACGCTCATGTATATTTAGCCTTATACCATACAACCATATTAAAACATTCCAAATTCTACTACCAAACATTTCTTTACGGACTCAAGTGAAATGCAAATAAGAGATAAACAGCGAGGTAGATTGAAATGTTTGTTCCGTACTCTATCAGAATATTCGTAATGATTCCATACAAACACAAATACAAAATTATCTTTTACTAGGAATGACACGCAACAGCGTTTGAAATTATACTTCATAATCATAGTAATATGTATTTTCTTATAATTGATTGATAAGACCATTTCTTAATATTTCAATGGATAAGCGCCTAAATAATTTCGCGTTTTGTGACGACCAGTACTTAATAGATTTTATTTAATAAATGCTAACACCTATTACAATAATATTTTATAATCAGGTGAAATAAAATTGGTAGATATTTAAAATATTCTTTTAACTCCAAACAGAGAGAAAGAAGTCAAACTTAGAAAATGTGGGAAGATACAAACAAATAGTTGCAGCTCAATAAAGCACACATTTAACATTTAAGTCTAGAAGTCTTCCAAAGTGTTTATGTATAGCGATAGTAGATGATAATATTTTTAACAATTTTGCATATTTCCTACCAAGAGTTTACATGTTATATTATATTAAAGCTTAAAACTAACAAATTCGTGAATGATTCCGAAGAAAACATCGAACATGATGATCATTGAGACATCTTTTTAAACATCTACACTAATATCACGAGGGGAGATGACTTACTTTTTATTTTGTTTTAAAACAAAACTTTTTCCTTTTTTTGTATACATAATACATAGATATAGGAAATTCTAAGGGACAATGCATTAGCATTAGATACAAAGTAATGACTGAATATTTTGTTAATTTTGTTGCGATTCGCCTAAGAATTTTCACATTCGTACTCCAGAACAGTCTTGTGATAGAAGAGCAAGTACCTGGAACAAGATTTGTAAACATTACAAAAAATATATTTACATACATAAAAATTAATCCACCCAGTAATGTGAGTTCCAGCATAACTTTCAATTACCTCTACTAAATAGGAGAAATCTTTTTGTGTCATATTTAATATTTTTAGTCCAAGGTTTGTATGAAAGAAATATTTGTAGTAGTAGCTGGGACGAACAGTTAGTAATCAATAAAAAATCTCATTCAACTCACCCTTCGCTATCCAAAACCTCGCGCAGTGAGGCACGAGTGATCATGTGGTCATCGCACTTGAACCAGCTCCCCTTCATCTGGCGCACGTAAGCGGTGTAGTGGCCTGCGTCCAGCGAGCCCACGTGGTTCACCACCGCGAACAGGGAGTAGCGGTTGTCTTCGCACACTCCCTCGGGAGCATTGTTGTTGTCCGCGCCCACATCTACAGCGCGACGGTGGGACGACATGAATGGAGTCATATCCAGCTCAGCTGGGAATGACACGAAAGCATTGATCTTCCTATCAATTTGCGAAGAGTGCTCGAAGCGCTTCAAGTGGAAACTTGCTACTATGGGCAATGTTTCCAGTGTCAATTGTTTGGTGGACTCGCGATAAGCGCGGCAGTTTGAGCACTTGATCTTAGCTCCAGATCCGAGATGCTCTGCCCGTGTGAAGCGTTCGAGACAGGCCGCAAGCGAGCCGGGGCCAGCCACATCGAGACTGATGTCCCAGAACGGATCAATGGTGGTGGATACTCCATGGCAAGAAGTGCATACTACATCACTCTGTAAACCGCCCGTAAATATTTGGTCAATGATACAGTTGCAGCGACCGTTTTCCTTTTTCTCGCCATTTTCATCAACGCCATTCATGCAGTGTCTGAAAATAAAGTAAAAATTACCATAATTTTATTCAAACGCCTGCTTGTTTTAATCAATATGATTTACACTAGACAGCACCTACCTATGCAGGACGTCGAGGGTTGCTATAAAAAATTCATGGGCATCCTGCTGTTCATACCCGGCTAGATGACGTGCATGCGTCCATATCAGATGCAATAGACGGTGCAAAGTTAGGGGTGTCTTTGCACCAGAGTAGAACTCCTATAAAAAAAGTAAAATAAAAGTATTGTAGTGCATACAATTCTGATCCAAGGCTGAACACAGTATCGATTTCTTTGAAGGCCTAGCTATAAATACTTAAACATGCAGGTGGGTAGCACGTGGGAAGTTTCCAGAAAGGGATGGTTAAATAATAACGTTCAAGTATTTTCCGTATAGCAAACACGTTTTTGAGATTTATTTCAACAAACTTACCTGAAAGAGTTTAGAAACCTCACAAACGAGGCACTTGCCCGAACCTTGTGCTTTACATTTATGCTTTTCTCCAAGGAAATAGTCACGCAGCAGCGGCGTGTGGATCAATGTCTGGAAATGTTAAATATTTCATACAATTAAGAAAGAAACTATAAACAGCAACTACATAAAGATACCTATGGATATGATGGAGCGCTTTGTGTCACAATAGACAGGATGCACGCCTATTCTTAATTAATGTTTGTAGATACATGGTCAATTTAGGCTCGATCACCAGATGTTTCGCTAGTACTTAGTCAAAAATATTAAAACAATAAACATATAATGCCAATTATTTAAATATATACTGTCAGTTGATTTTAGTAACAGCACATATTTGTTTGTTTTCCTGTTTCTTTGTTATGCACGTGTCCATGAAAGATAGTCATAACTACAAATAAATAATTACCCGGAGGTTAAGGCAACCGCTTCTTATGCTTGAGGAAACTTGGCAAGTACCAAATGATTTACTTGACTTTATATGTAAGTACATATTAACTCTGAGTTCTTAGTTTATTTAGACACCACTGACACATGGTGAAGCAAATCATCATAAGGAAATCAAAAGTCAATGCACCTTGAGCGAGCATGGTGATTAAAGCTTTAACCTTCCCTGTATGAAAAAGGCCTTTGTTCAGCAGTGGTCTTATTGAAGTAATAAAGGTCATTTCAATAACTTAGAAATATTTGACAATTTTAAAGTTAGGAATGCCCTTTCATAAATATTTTCTTATATTCTGCTCTTCCAAGTAATAATGAAGTCGAGATTGTAAATGCTTTTTTTATAGATAGCGATCCATTAAATTGTAATTACTAACTTATCGAAATTATGGACTTGAGGATTACATCATTAGATATGATCTGCCATTTGATAACGCTAAAACATTATATCATAAACGAAGTAGCTAGGTATTTTATAGGTATTTACCCTTTCTGGGTTGAAAGACTGGACTTTAAATGTTATCCAAACACAAAGAGTCATACTTCCACAACATTAATATAATAACAGCTAAGTAATGGCCTTAATTAAAAACCAACAATCAGTAATTCATGCATCACTGACATTAAATATGGAGTGCCAATTGATTAAGTCAAATATGGCAAGAAAACTTACCTATATAAAAGTTATTGGATATCAATATAACCATAAATTAATGTGAGAAAGAGAAACCTATTGTTTAAGAAATATGCAAGTTCTGAATAAATTGCATTCGTGTTGTTTCAGACTGCGAACCTGCAGGAAATATTAATCTCTGATTTTCGAGCCAGGGAACTATTAAATATGCACCAGTTAATCTATAACTGCCTTGACATTATAAATGTGTACAGTCAAGGGTCAGAAGACACACTCTTTCAAATGTGTAAAAATGATTTGCAAAAGAAGCTCAAAGTCAAAATCGAAATCATTTATTTCAACTGAACCATAAATAGGTACTTTTGAAACATCAAAATAGAATGATTGTCTGTCAGTGTGTTTGTAAGTGAAACTAGGTGGTCAACGGTCTAAAACCAGTTATTCAATAATTAAGTAAGTATCTATATTACAAATGAAATTACGAACTTAAGACATTAACCTATAATTAAATTTAATACTATTAAGCATTGATATGATGCAATTGCGCTATTAACCTCCGACTATCCTATACAGAGAAATTATTAAAAATTTTAAACTCATTTTTTTTTTATTTATTCATCATACAGATCTTTGTTAAAAGTTCTTTTCTTTATTCATCACTATTCCATTATGTCTCTCCTTGACATTATGTAGATTATAATTTATAAGCAAATAAGAATAAAAATAACTTGTACCATCACTCACACCAATGCCAAACAATATACAAAAACAAAAGTCCTGTGTTGAAAGCTTAACTCACCTGTTACACTCATACATATTATATTATTTTAATTTTTTTATTTTTATCAGCATCAGATGATATTCAGCATATGCTAATATGTATAATGAATATTTATGATTACACACTGACCTGGACAATGCAGTTCATAAAGCAAGTGGAGCCCAGGTTCTGTAGGCCTCGCAGGCCGATTGTAGTATGAGGGCTGATAAGACGCCTTTTGCGAAGACGGCGGAGGGCCATGGCCTCGTTGGGGTTTGGCAGCCATGGCATGAACGGCACACTGATGCCCAGAGATCTAAATTGGGTAAAGAAATTCATTTAGTTACATCATTTGACATTATTTTAATTTTGTACAATATTTTTATGTTCAGTCCTAATAATTATAGAAGTTTCAAGACAACAAAATAATAAGCTAGATTATTGACAAAAGGCACAAGTCAACCTTCTTGTAAAAGTGAACCCAAAACAGAAGTTTCCTCTACTATTAATTCAAAGCAATAGGAATTTAATGTAAACTAAAACCATAAATCTAACATACTTAGCTTCCTTCAACTTGTGAGTGACACCAATTTCAGTGAGTTCTCGATCATATATGTAATCTTGGCACTGGGCACAGTAAATGTTTCCATAGCTGAGGTCCACATAGAGGAAATGCTTTTTTGTTTTTGAATGATCTTGAATGTGACCAGCATAGCAGGCGAAATAGATGCAATGCAGGCAGGAGTGCATGCGTGGGCCCGGCATGCCACAGGTGAAGCACAGGCATGATGTTGCCTGAAATATATGTAGGCATTGTTGTGGGTGTTTTCACCTAAAATACAGTGTTCACAAACCTATAATATTTGTTTGGACATTATGAAAGTGGCCTTTGTCATTGGTTTATTATAACATAACCTAACTATTAGATGTGGTATTTTTTTTTTGTTTTGTTGCTCACTAATTTACTCTTTATATTATTTGAAGATTGTTTATCCTTTTAAGTCCTAATTAAAAACTAAACATATTGGTACATGGTAATGGATAGAATGTAATAAATTAATAAGATAGTAGCAATACAAGTTGGTATGCAACTAGAGTCAATTTATAAAATGAAAATTACCACATGTATGTCCCACACAAGAAATAAATCAAGTAAGTTCCTCTACTGGTCTTACAGTTAGAGTAGCAAAGTATATCAGGCATTTACTATGCACATAATGTGCGTCCTAAACAAGTTAAAAAATAATTAGTGCTAATAATATTTTTAAAGGTTTCAAAATACCTGTTTTCTATTATAGCAATTTTATATATTTAAGTCTTGTTAATTACTTCATAGTTATTATTCTTAAAGAAATACCAAGACAATTAACAGAGCCAACCTATTTAAATACATTTTTAAATTGTCTTGAGATAATTATAAAATTGTTTATTTATACCAAGTAAATAAATTAATTGAGCAAATCAAGAGGCATCTATCCAGTGTACTTTGTGTTTACAGTTTTCAGAGCAAGTGTACCTATATTATCATCTATCATTAACACAATGTTGAAACAAAAACAGAATATACAGCACACATCACTACTTGTAGTGTGTACATTGAATATACACATTTATAATAAACAGCTACGAATCAGACTAATGATTCAATCACGCGTCGGCCACAATGCAATCCTATAAAACAGCTGTTATGAGGTCAAAGATCACCAATCAGCTGATCACGAAATCAGCCGCAAGACAAATAAATAAGAGTACAAATGAAAACATAAAAGTTATTCACATCTCCATAATTGAAACTACTTGATAGATAAAATCAATGTTCAACAATTTCCGACGCGTAAAAAGGTCATAAAAGCATTAAGCATCTTTCAAACTGTGTTACGTGAAACCTTACCTTGTATCTTCTTGCTTCGAACGATGTGCAAGCCACGAAAAATGCATGCACGATTTTGTAAGGGTTGGTACCCTTCGCAGCCTTAAAATTATTTAAGTGTATACAACCATTGTCATTCATTATTTGGCTTGTGAAATACACCGGCGAGGAAAATTCTACTTCAGACGCCACAGAATTAAAATTTAAGCATTCTATACACTGAAAGACTATTCCTAATAAATTTGACGGAAGTATAAAGAAACTTCACGAAAATGTTACTTAGCCCTGAAATGTCGGACACTTCGGAAATAAATGCAAGATGAAGATTGAAATAAAGCAATAGATGGGGGCGTGTACTCCGTAAAATACGCAACAACGCAACTTCAAGCGCAGCGCAGCTGACTATTTAGATTGTAAAAGCTATATTCGCGTTTGTATTTTTGTATCACCACTCACAACATCATTTCTCAAATTCCACCTATTCATTGGTTACTTATTATCATTTGTCATAATTTCAACCAATAGGAAATAGTTTTGCTCATCCCACCACTTTTTGACAGATGTGAAGTCTGTTCTCAATGACGAAAAGCAAAAATTAATAATAGGAAAAAAAAACATTTATTTATTTTACATGTTTTGGCTTTCATCACATAAAGAAATTTATAGAAATATAAATATATAATCTTTATATTTCTGCACTGGGGGATAAAACCCGTTTCGTTTCACTTAAACATTTTATGCAAAAACGTAAACATTTTATGATATGAAGCTACTTAGCTTATTTGGTTGTTTGTTATTTGACTTTGGACCTAGTAAGTCAAACCATTTTTAGGTTTTAAAAGGCCCAATTGACGACTTGTAGTTAAAGGGATTTTCGCGTCCTTTTGTACATACTTTTTTGTTGGCATAAAATAAACATGCCTGCCGCTAACCAACACCAGGTTTAGGTTTCCCTGTATTTATTATTAGAGAATACATAATAAATATAGCCAGGTCTATAAAGAAAATGTGTACAAAAGACATTATTTTGGGGAATTTTTCAAATCATAGACATATTATAGACATATAATTGCTCTTAGTAATATAAAAAAAATATTTGAGTTGAATAATTTAGTCTATCCAGACAAAAGGTGTTTCCTTTATACTTTTATGCATTGACTTATTATTATATTACTACTGGGTAATCTTTCTGATAGGTGATTAGGTGGAGAAAAATAATTTAAATAATAGACAAGGAACAAAGACAGTTGGACAAGAATATTTGACAATATGTCGCTGTCAGTTTGAAAGATTGGCGTGGCGTAAGTTTACGCAACACAATCGCTGTGGCGCTGTAGTGTAGTAAATAAATATGGCGACTACTCAGTTCACAACGATGTAAACTTTTGTTTACAGTTTTTTAAATATTTTGAGACATGATAAGTGAATTTGAAAATTTGTCCCTTGGAGGAAACAATGCTGCAAGTAATCATGGTGATCCATTCACTCATGCCGGTAATTCGTATGATTATTTCTGTTGTAGACGTAGAACAAGTTGTTTTCCAATTATAACATGACCTCAATGGCTAGGTTTTTATTACTACTGGATGTATAAGGTTACTGTACCGTTCTTTTCAGAGTTGACACCTGAGCAGCAAAAGACTTTGATAGATATACGGCGTCGGAAAACAGAATTGCTGTTAGAAATTCAGGTGAGTGAATCACATCGAATTGCTTGGCTTCGCTCTCCTGACAATCTGATAATTATAGTGTTCTTGACTATGAGTAAGCAGTGGACAACAAGGAATCACGTAGTTAAGTGTAAATAAATCGTACTTACTAATACTTGATATCAGTAGTTAATTGGTTTATAGTACTCACAAGAAGTAAAAATGTATTTCTGGTTTTGTTCTATCCAAAACAAAGTTACGTATGTGATGTTTTTATACCTGTTTACTTCATTTTACGGCTGATGGTCACTAATTTTGACATCTATTTCTACAAAAACTTTTGTGTATCAGTATGTTTGAAAATTAGGTTTTGTACTGTCATTTTATCTAACAATTTTATCATCTTATATAAAATGCTTGGAATGAAATAATCATAAAACCTTACATCCTTGTTGTAAGTCTTTTTCTTTTGCTATAAATCCAAATCAATGAATTTTATTGACAATCTTCTTTCAGTAAACATTTAACAAACCTATTTATTTTTGATTTACATGCCTATGAAATAATTGCGTACAACAAAACATATAGGTACATATAATTAATGCTGGTGTAACTTAAAAAATACATTTTGCATTAGAAATACTTTTTTTAATGATTTCATTCTAATGAGAAATATGGCTGATTTACATTGATCCTGACCCCGTGTGGACGCTAGTTTGAACCCAGTCCTGTGCGATTGAGTCTGGAATTCCCTCACTGGATTCTGTCACTAAACCAATGTAAATAAGCACCTAAAGATAAATCATTATCTAAATAACACTGAAGCCAAGTCTGGTTTATTTTCAACTAGTTCATAATAAAAATATAAAAAAAAACATGGAAAGTTGTTGTCAACTATCCTAACACACATTGACATTCTTTATATGGAAAATGTACCTAGTTATTTGCCAATTAATTTAATAATTGATTTGCTACCACAGCTTATGTTTGGATTGATGTTACTACTGGATAGATGATATACGAGTAGGTATCTTGTAAGCAAAATGTATTTTACTACCCAATTACACATTATATTCTCAAAGTACAAAAACAAGGCAGAGGTAAAGACACAAATACAAAGTAAACCTTTAATTTGGTTCTACACACATGCCTCTTGTAATCAAAGTAGTAGTATAGACCTATTGCTCGTATTTAGGGCCCATTTACTACTACTCTGTGCCATTTAAAAAAGGCTTTTGTAGATCACAGTCACAATGGGACTCCTATGAGCTAGATACACATCACTGCTACGTCTTGTAACCAACTGAGACATATTTCGTTACAATAAACCTTACATTACTTATATTTATTTAGACTTTTAACAGACAAACCTTAAATGCTAGATAACATAACAGATTATGACCTGGTGCTTCTCCACTTATAAGAAGTCACAGCATGCAAATATAGTATAACATTAAAGTGTGGGAGAGCCATGCTTCGGCACAAATTCGGCACAGATGCGTGATACCACGGCCTCACAGAAAACCGGCGTGAAATAACCACAGCGTTGTGTTTCGCCGTGTCAGTGAGGTTACCGGAGGCCCAATCCTTCCCTCCCCCAATCCCTCCTAAATCCCTAAATCTTTGGAGATTTAGGGATTAGGCATTTGGATGCCTAATCCCTAAAAGGTCGGCAACGCACTCGTAACTCCTCCGTTGCGAGTGTCCATGGGCGGCGCTGATTGCTTACCATCAGGTAATCCGTCTGATCGTTTGCCCACCTATTAAATAAAAAAAAAAATCATGAATACATATTTTTAACTTTGTATTAAATTTAATCCTTAAACAATGTTATACTAAATTAGATTTTAAAGCAATATTATATTAAATTCAATTTAGGACAATTAAAATTATATTGAACAATTTTATTTTGTTTATTTTTTATTACTATGCTCTATTATTTATAGTTTTGGGAGTCATATTTGTGGCTAGTGACTATCCATTCAACACTATCTTCACTTACATCTCTTATCAACATTGTTTATTAAATTAAATGTCCAATAATATTTTCAAGCTAAATTTTGATGATATTCTTTATGATCTTAGTTGTATGACCTAAAATTACGACCAGTCAAAAAAGAAAAAAGGCCAATAATTTATGTTTTAATGTTTCACTGACAATATGCTTGATAATTGTTGGTACTTATTGTTGTTGAAGGCTGATAATGTTTTTATTTTAGCACTGAAAAAATTACAAGTATGGTATTGAAAGAAAACAAAAAAAAAATTGTATAAAATAATAATCATAGAAATTATGAGATTTTCCTTAATATACTAAATTCGAGTTCCTACAATAAAACATATCTTTCGTTTAAATCCTATCTTGAAGAAAACTACTTTTTACACGTATAAAAATATGTCTTCTTTTATTGATATTTGAATAATTTGCGACTTTCCTCAGTTAGATTAAATACAAAGAAAAATATTGGTTACAAATGTTATGGTATTTACTTTGTAATCAAGTTGCGAAATAAATATCATTTTTTTATCACAGCACTATCACAATCGCTTATGATATGTTTACGAATTACGATTGTACATAAATAAACTTTTTGATAATGAATTGTTCATTGATCAGTTATAAGTTGAGTCTGGGACGTTTTTGCTAGGTGACCAAAAAGTAAAATATAAAATGTATTATTATTTTGAACCTTATAAACCACTCTGGTAGTTTCTAACCGATTACATTCAATAAATTAATATGTTAATATGTCAAAACCAACAATTTTTATGAATTTTGTATGAAATCGTAACATATGACGTCACAATGTTTTTACGTGATATGTTCTGAAAACTGCTTGGAAAAAAATTAAATGAAGTAAATATTACACAGTCGAATCAATGAAGTAAAAGTATGATTTTATTATAATAATTAATTGTACTGTAAAGTCAAAATAATTTATACTTCACTTAGGAAAATTGATAGAAACTATAATCAAAACTAGATTATTCAAACAAAAATTTGCAAATATATTTATTATTTTAAAACCCAGTTGTAAGAGCAAGAGCACCCCGTTCCTAAACCAACCATTTCATTCAATGCGGACTCGTCTGACGTAAGCCGTCAATGCTTGGGCTGGGCTTACTACACAGCCTGGTAGTAAGACAGTGCGAGCCGGGCCGCGACACGAGCGTGACGCGTCGCCCTCCGTCGGATTCTTATTTTGTATATTGTCACTATCACTTTTGACTCAGTGTTATGAAAAAATAATAGTTCCGTTATAAAAAAAACGCAAGTTATAACGAAAATCTGTGAGAATTTTGTCCATAACTTCGTGTTTGAATAGTGATATCACCCGTAAGTTGATAGTGATAAGGCGGATAAGTGGAAATTGCTTTGACTACGTCGTCGGACACCGGGAGATTTGTTATTATAAACCATGATTTATGTCATTGTGTTTTGAGACAGGCCTTTTTTCTTGAAGTTGTTTTAGGACCCCAGTAAATCAATAAAGCCGTAAGCCTATTTATTAAAATGAGTTAATTATTTGCAAAAGACTCCTACGTTGTTTACTGTTCAATTATTTAACTAGTTAACCTTCATTAATATTTATCTCCGCATAGTAAATAACTCATGTTATGATGACATCAAGCATCTAATCAAAATTTCAAAGCGTAAAACAAGATATTTATATGGGAATTTATAAATCTACTAGTATTGTTATGAGGAAAATACCCGTCACAAAATGTTTTTGCGCTCTATTTTATACTTACTTGAGAATTTGAGAACCGACGGTAATTTCAATAACTTTGATTTCGATATTTTCATCTAAGCAAATTAGATACTTCTTAATATATCTTTAGTTAACATACAGAGAGCATAGGTCATAGATTAGTCCACCTCGTGTCACTATGCAGTGAGTGCACACTGTTATGCTGAACTCTTCATTTAACCTTATTTATTAATATGCAACTTAACAAGAGATAAACACAACCGTTAAGTTAATAATAGATCATAAAAAATGTGTTGCTTTCAGTATTGGATAAATCCACATCCATTTTTAGTCCAAACATAAGCACTGGATCAAAATTCCTTAGTTTTCGAATAAAAGCTTGTGTCGAGAGGAGAAACTACATTCATTTATTAAAACTGGACATTGTTCGCGTTGGATTTATCATATTTCCTTTACCGCTTCCGCACTGTGGTTGCAAGCTTTGATAACAGAACTGCCTGTCCATCCACAATATCGCAACAACGATATTGGTTGTTCATTTTATTTGTAGCTAGGTATATCTAAATGTTTATGACTTAGATCTTGGTTAGCAACTTGTAAAGAAAAAGATTTAACATATTTTAATATTCTTTCATAGCATTCATTTTTAAATAAGTGGGTAGTTTCGAACTGGTTATAATGTCGGTCCAAAAGGTGCAATGCATTTTCTTATTTAGTAGTGACGTTTTAGAAGCATAAATTGTTTATGACGTTGGCCTTGTCACAAACGTGCAGAAAGATAAAGCGAAGCCATATCTATGTATGTAGGTACATGTAATTGTCACGGTGCCAAAGACCGGTGGCGCCCGCGACTATCTTCAGTCTAGTGCGTTCTTTTGAGGAGAAGTGTATGGCGCGCGATGTGTTTGCATGTTCGCCTGCTGTGCGGCGCGCTGTGGTGGCCACTGCTGGTACGATGCGCCCGCGCAACCCGCACCTACGACGACGACTATGATCAGGTGTGTCATCGTTGCCGCTTACTGTGCACTTCGCAAACATACTTCTTTGTTGTGTAGCTTCACTTCATTTTTGGCAAGTACTTGAATGTTCGAATCGATACATAAGTATGTCCGACGACGCGCAGTCGTCCACTTTTCCACTTTATTTGCTTATTTAAAACTCCGCAATTTATTTTAAATGTGTTGTGGGCTTAATAGGTGTCCTGTGCCTGCTAGCTTCCTAATATTGGTGTTTGTGTGGTCAATACCCACAGTGTGTGAGAGTGTAATGTGCTTGGTGCGTCAGCACTTGTGAAGTAATGTTCATCAAAGCCGGGCCGGGATCGGCCGAACCGGAGCGCCGTGGATCAGTCTCCAACTGGTTCTCTTCTTTGAGACGTGGTGGTGGGCGACGTAAGCGCGAGGAAACCGCCGTGCCCTCAAATTACGGGTCACTGGGGAGGCGGAAGGACGGTTCACACCCTCGTGGCAAGACTCGCTCGGCCTGGGACCTTACAACCGTCACTAGACTGGTCTGTATTTTAATATCATACATTTTCCTAAAAAATCGTCGTTTGGTGACACGTTGCGCTGGAGACCACATTTGGCTGGTATCCAAATGCGCTGGATCGATCACGGCTTTTGCGTCTGCGTGTCAAATGATGACTAAACAATATTTTTTTCTCTTAGCAGGGATGCAATACCTAATATAGTAAAAAAATAAGTACATGAAGTTATATCGATGCCACTTTAATGTTATAGGTATAATGTGCTAGTTGCATAGTTATTATTTGCGCGCAGAATAACAAAGTTGTTTTTATTATACTTGTATCGATAGCACGAGTGCTATGTTTGATACCGATAAATACTTCTTACAAAGCAGAGCAGCGGCATGGAAGTATTTTGTTAAAATACTCGTGATTCATGGCTTTTTGTCTTATCTATGAATGACTATAATGTGTACCGGAAAACTTTTGCCTAAACAAAACAATAGTATGTGAGTCATAAATGATTACAAATATTGCACAAGTGTCCGATGTCTATTTAAAGTATGAAAAAACCATAACAATTTCATTTTTTTAAATGCTATTATGTTGTCCTCAAAATCTGATTACACGTAATAATAATTTGAAATCAAATAAGATAAGATAAAAATATGTACACGATTGCATGGGATGTAAGGCTTAACGAGGATTTCATTAGCTTTAATTTTTCTTTTGCTTCATCGAAACAAGCTTAAGCAGTGTGTCTGTAGTAGAGCATAATAATTGTTTGTTTTGCGTGAGAAGGTGATAAATTCTATGGACAAGCTCTCCATACAATTTATATTAAATTTAAAAATGGAATGAAGTCGAAATACAATAATTGTTATTAACGTTTCGTGTGTTTTAGACGCTAATCCACGCGAGATACAATGTATTTTCTTTTGTGTCTTATAATACCGGTATTCAACGGGTTAAGCTATTTGTATACTTATGTATATACTTTACCTTACGTTTTTACACAAGTATTTTTCCAAGACACTGAATATGACACTAACTTAAGCATTTGACTGCCGAAAGCATACTATTTTTAGGCAAGTCCTACGGACGGCAGACGGCACCTACGGCAGCGGATGCCGTAGGTCACCGGTGATCTACATGGACTAACGTGTTAATTCGCTTTCAGTTACTTAACTTAAAGTTACTAGAAGTAAGATTCTGGATACCCTGCTACAAAGTATAAGAATTTTCTTTCACATATTTTGAAACATTGGCGTAGTAGAAATGAAGCAACGGCGGAAAGTCTTACTAACATTGATGTTGTGTTAAGCTTTAGTTGTATGCTTAATGCTACTATGTATTATCGTGTGATAATAAAAATAATAACTTACAATATCTATGAAGATCATCGGACCCACATGGAGATACAGAATCTGTTATCCATATTTGAAAATCGAATATCAAATAACCGTCGTTCCTGTGGAGCGTTTATCAATGTGACATCACTAACCAAACGATTCCAGTTTGTTTGCCTATAACAATGTTTGTACGACCTACTAGTTCGCATGTGTAGCCTGAGAACAATGGACATATGGCGCCTGTATCGAATACCCCTCGTTTCTACTACGTTTTACGACCTGACCGCTCCACGCCTGTGTAAATTAGCTTTTAACTTCCCTTTGTGGTCTAAATTGAAAAAGTTATCGAACAATTTTCTTTCGGTGCAAATGTTATTTTATATCTACATTAATATGTATTATTCAAAATGGTCAGATAAGATTGACAACAAAAATTTAACAGCAAAATTGCTCACAAGCAAATAATTTGATACAATGGAATTGTGAATACTCCTTAATGAATTTGTGGTTGGTGTCAGGAAAGGAACTATTAGATAAACCCAAAATAAAAAGATATATTTTAGTGTTTTTACATTTTAATATTCAGCCTGCAAGACTGTTTGCCTAACCTACTATTAATTCAGCGAATCACATCTGTATTGACATTGTGATCGACCATTATTGGCATTCATACGCGTAGTCACTTAATGCAAATGTGTCTTTTGTGTTCAAGCAACGGTTTGGCTCTACTGCTCCAGTCTTTACCTTTGCATGATGGTATTTCCTCAACGGTCATTTAGTTGACTCACAATATTATTGTCATTTGGGCGTGAGCCCTTACAATGGAATTTATTCTCTACTGTATTTCATTAGAGCACATGATTGAGACAATTTATTAGAAGTATTCTTTATTCCTATGAACTTAGGCAATTTTGTACTTACTTATAGTGCGTATAGTGGATATTACACGAAAAACACTACGTATACATATATTTGTCAACTTTCTATTCGGAAACATAGAAATTACGAGATCAATAGCTTTTGCTATTGACGAAATTTAAATGCGATTGATACCTATGTGGGAAAATTAATTACGGTATCCAATTTTTTGTTCTTCTTTTTTGCCTTTTTTGGTGTACACTTATTGGATGAATTCATTAGCTTTTGCTTTTGAAGATGGATGCACCAATCTGAAGCAGACTTTGTAGTATAATAGTTACATTGCAACACACTTAGATATTATAGTTTCGTTGGTCCATTTGCCGGTTGTTACATTTTATTCACACGGTATTTCAATATGGAACAAATTATATTACGTACAGTGACGTATTCACCTGCCGTGACTCGTACGAATAAAAGACTGAATAAAGATTCGGCCATGCATGACACACAGTATTTCTATACCATCAAACAGTCCGCAATGCATCGAGTTGATTTAGAAAATGTAGTCTGGGTTTTTGTAACGTTGTTGCCAAGTACTTGAACATACTAGTCTACAGCATAGTCTTATACATATTTATATACCTTGCCTACTTTCAAGTGCTATCCCAACTCCTCAAAGTCGTTTGTCCATTTTGGATCTAATTCTCTGAGGATACGAATCAATGTCGACCATTGTTATCGGACTGACCTTAGCCCAAACCCTTTAATCCGTTCACCCAGAAATACATTAATACTAGTCGGTCCCAGATCCATTTATTATTTGTGACGAAGGCATAACATATGTTACATGCCATAGAAGAATATCTCAATTGCTTTAATTGTAATCAAAGTTGGCTGTAAATGACAACGGCTGAATTGTTGTACAATGATACAAAACATTGTTTCTATTGTTAAGGTCAACAAAATTCTCGGAACAGTTATGCAAACGTCTTGCCAATTTGTAGTACATACTTCCTAGTAGGACTGGCGTGTTTGCGTGAAATTAAGATGAACTTTTCAGTCCTTGCGTCACCAGGCGATAATGATGTTTATTAGCCGTTCCTTGCGTGACATCGCCGACATGCCTCACACATTCACACAAGCTTGTGAATTTTCTCGCGATCCAATTCCTTGCTCTATTTAATGTATTAATCAGTCGTATTATTCTTCTCAATTAACAATTGTCTCGTAATTCTATATTTCAAGTTTGTCGTGATTCATACTTTCTATACTTATGGGTTACTTACAGGCGTCGTTCGTTTGTGATTTGCGTCGCGAGTATATTTGTATCAATTAGTTATTATATAAAGACATTTTGTGAAAAAGCACACAAAAAATAAAACTAACTAATTGTTTCTGAAACTAGCCATTTTGAGCAATTATTAATGAGACGCAAAAGTTGTAGTATTCAACGTATAGAAGTTATTAAAATTTAATCGATAATCACAAGAGGTCTGGTAGATAAAGTCATAGAATTTAATGACTGTTGGAAGAAAATTATTCTCTAGTAGGGAGTACATTTAATTGGTACTGAGGTCCAAGGCACGAAACAGGAATTAATTAGAACGGGGTGGATTTTAGTAAGTGAGTCTTACACACTCTTCTAATCTGACTTAGGACAGGAGGAATCCATTGATAATATTTTTGATACACCATCGAACAAATTGTTTGCCGTGTAGCTATTGTTCTCAACGGCTAGTGCTAACAATACGTTTTATTTTATTTGTTAGCCAGCACTTTCTAATAGGTCTCAATCAAATGGACGAAGCCGGAATGATTTCTTTTATATCTTTTTCTGCACTTAGATGTGTATACTATGGTATCTATAAAAATAATTATAATGGTAATGAACTTAATTATGTAAATGAAATAAAAATTGAATTAAACTAATTTAAACCTTGTCAATATTGATCAGTGCGGCATCCTTTGAATGGATAGTATTCGAGGAATCATGTTTGAGACAGGACGAAGAGGGGTGCCTTGACCTTGCCGGGGAAGAGGGGAGCAGGCGTCCGCGAACTGCACTCACGCGGTCACTGACTCGCCAAACAAGTTTTACTTGCATTGCTAATCGTTAGGGATCGTCCTTCGATTTTACCAAAACATATTTTGAAAGTACCTAAGTATGTGCTTAGTATTCTGGGCTTCACTCTTCATTAAAGGCGACTGTTTATGAAACTCAGACGTCCGTCAGCAGTCTGATTACCAGCAACAACGCCATGACTGTAGTGTAACCTACACGGTTATTTTAAACTCAAAACAAACTTCAGTAGACGTGACGTCAGATATTTGTTCTGTAGCCAACCAATATTTTAGTTACCTGTTGATTTTCCTCCAATCTTACAATGATTCATACATACATTAAGGTTGCACACCTACAAAAACATTACTAGCTTTGTGTCCATACTGAAATAAGGTATAAAATCTGCTTTCATTACCTTAATATAATCCACTTTAGTCCAATTTAACTTAACTAAGCTAATCAAATAGCACAATTTGTTTAACAGACCGTCGTGGCATAGTAATTATCATAGTTTAACAACGATATGGGCAGTCTGATAACAAAATTCTAACATTATTTGTAAAGTTACTTAGTATTTTCATACCAGCATAGTAACATACCTGTCTAAAAAACTGTGTCGCTATTTTTAACCTGTAATTATCTCCTTTTTGACGCACGCGGTACGAAAATATTTGTATGCGCTGTTTTTGTGTTAACGTAAATAACAATGCTATTTTCAGATTCCGTACCAAAGAAACTAAAATGAGATTACAGAAACGTGTACCAATATT